TGATATAAAAGCCAAGATAAATAGATTCCTTCAAACTAGGTGAGTCATCTCGGTCTATACTTAATGACCAACTGAGATATCGAACGACGATACATCGGATATAATATTCTACAATTGACAAGTGTTGTGGTCTTGTCATAATGGTAATTTAAGTGATTTTTTTTCAAGAGCACGTGCTCCTTGTATTTTCTAAGAATAAAACGTATATTTGTATACATTTCGGCGTATGAAGTATAGAATAATACAGTAAAACTGATTATTTTTATAATATCAATAAAAGCTAGGAATGTCGACATTATGATAAAAATATAATAAAAACAGAAATAATTCATTTGATTTAAAAGAGCCAATCCAACAGCAATGAATATTTGCAACTTACTTAATAATTTTCCTTTTCTTAATAACAAAATGCCTTCGGAATAATACAGAAATAAACTAATATCATCTTATTAATGACATACAAATAACATAAAATAATTCTCATTCAGTTGACAACATTTGACTCATAAGTAGTTTTCTTAAAACAGTGTCAAATGAAACTCTGTTATAATCATCAATAATTAAACACTTCCTTTCCTAGTGTTTACAAAAAGCTTATTTTAAGTATACTTTCTTTCAGTTCATTAACACTTTCCTTATCTATAATCTAACATATTTCTTTTTATTGTCTTAATTTCCTTGTTTAATTACAAACGCACAGGATTTCCTTTAAAAACGAAACTACGCAATACTATTATCTAACTATTTTTCATTAAAAAACATCATTTGTTACCTTTCGAAATGTCTAAATACTATTGTAATATAAATAATTTATTGAAGAATATTCTATTTAAATATACTGCTTATTATTACAGTGGACGTCCAATAGTACGTATACTCTTTATTACGAATATCCAATAATACGAATGGCAAAATTGTTGCATTGTATACTCTATAGTACGAATAAAGTCACAATTTTTCTGTTCGATAGTACGAATAACGCATTTTTTATGGGAATTTTGGTTTTATTTACGTATGAATGAAGTTTTTATTATGTTTTTATTTTATTATTTCGGTATCATTCACCTTAAGCTCAGTAATTTTGAAGTTTTTTTGTATTTATTATAAGTGTTTTGTATTTTTAAAAATCCTATACACACAATTTACTGCATGTATATTTACAAATCAACAATTATTTAGTGTTATTAATTTATTTTATTGGAATTTTGATGACCCAAGAGAAGAAATTAAATTGGATGATAACGCCAATGAGGAAAGTATTTTATTAGTTCCCGACAATAACTCTGCTGAGAACAATATTGAAGCCTCAAAAGCGTTGTTATTGAAAAAGCCGTAAGAATCATTTTACAATGTAATAAACATCGATGTTAAATGATGGATTTTTTAATAAGTAAAATGATATTTATATACATATGTATGTATGAACTGTTAATTTTGAAAGTAGTGTGACTCCACATTCCAAACAATGGGTTTAAGGATAACTATTCTAATTTTTAAGAGAAAATTATAAATTAGAGAATTGTGGTATATTCCATTCAAGTTTCTAATAAAAGTTTTATGTAATCTGAACATTTTAATACATTTTAGAACACATATGTAAATTGCAAATTGTCTTTGGCACACATCTTTTTAAAAACATTAAAATTTAAAACCTTCTACATACATATATCTCATTTCAACCATTGGACTCACGATACTTTCAAAATTAAATATGTCCATTTTATGCCTGTTTATGTACAAGAAATTTATTTAAAATAATACACATTTATTATATTTTGTTCCGTTATGTAATTTTTCATGAAAAATAAAACAAAAATAAATAAAATCCAATATTTTATGTGTATTATTTGAATTTAAACATACAAAATGTGTTGTTCAATAATACGAATTTTTCGGTATTACGAAAGGGCCTGACACTATATAATTCGTACTAGTGGACGTCCACTGTAATATATTATTTAATAGACCAACGTATATGCATATAGGAATTGTAAAGATAATAAAATCCGCTTTTATTAGATAAAATTTCAGTAGCTTAAGCTTCAAATAATGCAAATACAACAACAACACAAAGGGAAATATAATAACAACTAACAGCTTTAGTAGAGAGACATGTGTATCTGTCATTGGATTTTATTATTAATTACTTTACCTGCTTTGATTATTATCACTTGTATTTTTGTTGGGTTATAAACCATTAATATCATTAACACAGATGCACAATCACACACGAATGAATACAGTTATTCATCAGCAGTCAGCGAGTCACTGTATCCCTTTAAGACAGGAATTTTCCTAAACTATTTAACAGGCTCAAGGAACACAAACGTCATCCAGAAATCTTAAGATAAGCCAGTATGTAAGTTATGTTGCTTGACCCACCACAATTCAAATATTTTACACTAAAGTAGCTTAGTTGTTGTCTGTAAAAATTCAACTGGCTTCATCCAATATTGGTACAAACACCCCGAACTGACGGATCATTATTCATACACACACTATAATAACATTGTTAATGAATAGAAATTCAAAACGAAATGAATTATAAAGCATATCTTAAGGGTTTATTTAAAACAAAAAGATCCCATTATAAATGGTTGGAGGAATAAAATGAGAAACAAACAACAAAAAAACGACTAGAAACAATATTAATTCATTCATAATAATCTAAATAAATAATATAAAGAATATTATAAATGTTTTGAGCTTTAGGCGAAAGTTTATAAATGATGGCCTAATGGGAAAGAAAACTATAGAGAAAAATGTTATTGAAGAGGTGTGTTTAAATAAAAAATATAATTTAGGTATTTTTTGGGGTATCGTATTAAAATTAGGTGTTGAATTTAGGGAAGGGAAATATTTATTAAAAAAAGATGTAAACATTAATAGAACTGAAGTAGAACTGAACTAGAAGTGAACTAGAACTGAACTAGAACTGAACTAGAACTGAACTAGAACTGAACTAGAACTGACTAGAACTGAACTAGAAGTGAACTAGAACTGAACTAGAACTGAACTAGAACTGAACTAGAACTGAACTAGAACTGAACTAGAACTGAACTAGAACTGACCTAGAACTGAACTAGAACTGAACTAGAACTGAACTAGAACTGAACTAGAACTGAACTAGAAACTGAACTAGAACTGAACTAGAACTGAACTAGAACTGAACTAGAACTGAACTAGAACTGAACTAGAACTGAACTAGAACTGAACTAGAACTGAACTAGAACTGAACTAGAACTGAACTAGAACTGAAACTAGAACTGAACTAGAACTGAACTAGAACTGAACTAGAACTGAACTAGAACTGAACTAGAAACTGAAACTAGAACTGAACTAGAACTGAACTAGAAACTGAACTAGAACTGAACTAGAACTGAACTAGAACTGAACTAGAACTGAACTAGAACTGAACTAGAACTGAACTAGAACTGAACTAGAACTGAACTAGAACTGAACTAGAACTGAACTAGAACTGAACTAGAACTGACTAGAACTGAACTAGAACTGAACTAGAACTGAACTAGAACTGAACTAGAACTGAACTAGAACTGAACTAGAACGAACTAGAACTGAACTAAACTGAACTAGAACTGAAACTAGAACGAACTAGAACTGAACTAGAACTGAACTAGAACTGAACTAGAACTGAACTAGAACTGAACTAGAACTGAACTAGAACTGAACTAGAACTGAACTAGAACTGAACTAGAACTGAACGAAACTGAACTAGAACTGAACTAGAACTGAACTAGAACTGAACTAGAACTGAACTAGAATGAACTAACTGAACTAGAACTGAAACTAGAACTGAACTAGAACTGAACTAGAACTGAACTAGAACTGAACTAGAACTGAACTAGACGGACTAGAACTGACTAGAACTGAACTAGAACTGAACTAGAACTGAACTAGACTGAACTAGAACTGAACTAGAACTGAACTAGAAACTGATATTAGAACTGAACTAGAACTGAACTAGAACTGAACTAGAAACTGAACTAGGACTGAACTTGAACTGAACTAGAACTGATATTTAAGGCCAACTACATATAATAACATGGTGTCATTAACTACTTGATCCACTTTATTGAAATGTTTAACTTAACGCAAGAACTTTATCAGTATCGATAAGTGTTTACAAACATTATTAGATGTTAAAATTATTTTAAAATCTATTATTACTTTTATTTCATTCACAACTCAAGATAATAGAAGCTAACCATTCTTATCGCACCAATTTACTACAATTAATGACCAAACATAATTGGCAATATTGGCTACTTGTTTTAAAAACACAATCTATGAAGATTCTAGCGATAATAAGAATTTTTAAATTTTAGAGAGTAAAAAACTATATAAAGGAGAGCAACTAAAAAAAGATAAGATAATTTCTATAAATTGGCACTTTCGTAAATCCCTAATTCGGTAAGTAATAAATTTCTCAGAGTGTACTGGGTGATTAAAATCATTGGCCAATAAATAACTTAAAATGTGCAAGATAAGATTTTTTATTTCAAAGAACTAAAAAAATATTTGTTCTTGAAACTGCTAATTTTTTTCCACTGGATTTAGTCTTTACCTAAACAGATTCTGAAACGGACATGCAGCTCTCTGCCACAAAACTAGTGGTCTTCACCACACTTTTAGGCCTATCCTTGGCCATGCCCACCACTCGTGTGGAAACTGATCCCGAATTAACTGCTGGCTATGTGGAGGGTGACATGGTTCTAGATACAAATTTACGTAATGGTTTACGTAATGAGGTCTTTAGATGGCCCAATAACACTGTATACTACAAATTCTTTACACAATTTGGTAGGTTTACTTACAACAACAAAAAATTAAGTTTCTATAACTTTCGTTTCCTTTAGATGAACCCCACAAAAATCACATTTTACGAGGCATGAGAATTTTAGAAAGCGTCTCCTGCTTACGTTTCAAGGAAGCCACTCCTGACATTAAATCTTTTGTTAATATCACTGGTTTTGATGGTGGCTGTTACTCTAGTGTGGGTTATCTTAATCAAGGAGCTCAAACTTACAATTTAGAAGTCTATAGACTCGATGAAGGTTGCTTCCGCTTGGGCACAATTGTACATGAATTCTTACACACTTTGGGTTTCTATCACATGCAAAGTGCTGCCGATCGTGATGAATATGTTCGCATTGCTGAGGAAAACATTAGACCCGGCACTATTCACAATTTCAACAAATACAATCAATCCTATGTTGATGACTTTGATCAGGAATATGATTATGGCAGTGTTTTGCATTATTCGGCTTATGCGTTTTCGGCCAATGGTGAAATGACCATCATCCCTTTGAAGGCTGAGGAGGCTTCTGGTATTATGGGTCAACGTCGTGGCATGAGCCAGCGTGATATTAATAAATTGAATACCATGTACCGTTGTCCAGTGCATGTTTAAGTTGTTGATGGAATTGTAATTTGACAGCTATTGAATAACATTGTTTTTTACTAATCAACGCAATAAATATATACCGTCTTACTTTCGTAAAGTAATAATAAAAGAGCAAACTGATTACCGTTAATATTAAAAAAATAAAAACAAAAGTATGACACTTCTAGATTAGATATATATGTATATATGTATATATGGTTCATTTCATGTCAAGTAACCCAACTTTTAAAATCGATGTCTTCCGATTTTGATCAAATTTACAGCATGATTAGTACTATTGGATGTAGGCCAGACACATTTTCAGATATCCACCTTGCATCCCATTATCGGACTATATAGCCCTTAATGGAAATTGTACCACTTTTGAGCAAAAAAATGCCCATTTTGAAAAAAATATTAAAACATAAAAACAATTTATTTAAACATGAAGAATAGCTGTCTGATCTCCTTTGGATAGTTTTTGCTACAGAAACTGAACTAGAACTAGAACTAGAACTGAACTAGAACTGATCTAAACTGCACTAGAACTGAACTAGATGACTAGACTAGAACTGAACTAGAACTGAACTAGAACTGAACTAGAACTGAACTAGAACCTGAACGAACTAGAACTGAACTAGAACTGAACTAGAACTGACTAGAACATGAACTAGAACTGAACTAGAACTGACTAGAACTGAACTAGAACTGAACTAGAACTGAAACTAGAACTGAACTAGAACTGAACTAGAACTGAACTAGAACTGAACTAGAACTGAACCTGAACTAGAACTGAACTAGAACTGAACTAGAACTGAACTAGAACTGAACTAGAACTGAACTAGAACTGAACTAGACTGAACTAGAACTGAAACTAGAACTGAACTAGAACTGAACTAGAACTGAACTAGAACTGAACTAGAACTGAACTAGAACTGAACTAGAACTGAACTAGAACTGAACTAGAACTGAACTAGAACTGAACTAGAACTGAACTAGAACTGAACTAGAACTGAACTAGAACTGAACTAGAACTGAACTAGAACTGAACTAGAACTGAACTAAACTGAACTAGAAACTGAACTAGAACTGAACTAGAACTGAACTAGAACTGAACTAGAACTGAACTAGAACTGAACTAGAACTGAACTAGAACTGAACTAGAACTGAACTAGAACTGAACTAGAACTGAACTAGACTACTAGAACTGAACTAGAACTGAACTAGAACTGAACTAGAACTGAACTAGAACTGAACTAGAACTGAACTAGAACTGAACTAGAACTGAACTAGAACTGAACTAGAACTGAACTAGAACTGAACTAGAACTGAACTAGAACTGAACTAGAACTGAACTAGAACTGAACTAGAACTGAACTAGAACTGAACTAGAACTGAACTAGAACTGAACTAGAACTGAACTAGAACTGAACTAGAACTGAACTAGAACTGAACTAGAACTGAACTAGAACTGAACTAGAACTGAACTAGAACTGAACTAGAACTGAACTAGAACTGAACTAGAACTGAACTAGAACTGAACTAGAACTGAACTAGAACTGAACTAGAACTGAACTAGAACTGAACTAGAACTGAACTAGAACTGACTAGAACTGAACTAGAACTGAACTAGAACTGAACTAGAACTGAACTAGAACTGAACTAGAACTGAACTAGAACTGAACTAGAACTGAACTAGAACTGAACTAGAACTGAACTAGAACTGAACTAGAACTGAACTAGAACTGAACTAGAACTGAACTAGAACTGAACTAGAACTGAACTAGAACTGAACTAGAACTGAACTAGAACTGAACTAGAACTGAACTAGAACTGAACTAGAACTGAACTAGAACTGAACTAGAACTGAACTAGAACTGAACTAGAACTGAACTAGAACTGAACTAGAACTGAACTAGAACTGAACTAGAACTGAACTAGAACTAGAACTGAATTGAAAGAACACATAAGCATTTTTATTTCCAAATACCCTTTGTCTCAATCACTTTTTGTATTATTCAGTATACTAAACCCTTTTTATACAATATTTATTGAACAAATGTTAATCATTTTAAAAGATCAACGACTTCTTGATAAGATTATTGAAGTTGAAAAACATAAATAGAAATAGTTTTTAATCTTCCTCTTTGCTCAAACTTTCTTGAACTTTTTTCTTTTGTTTATTGCGAAATTTAACATTCCACCTTTTGGTAGGAATTACTTTTTTCTGTAAGCTGTTTTTTTATTTCGTTATTGATTATTATTTCCCGAGGTACAAAAACTTTTGCCATACACATGCAAACATACATATGTATGTATATTGCTTCTAAAGGTAGCAGAGGTTTAAAAGCATGCGAAATTTGTAAAGAGACTTTGATACAAAAAAGTAGCATATACATATAATTAATTATAAATGCACTTTTAATAGTTAAAGTGCGTGCGTTAAAATGTTGAAACACATAAGTATAAATATAAATCTCAAGAAGGAAGCAGCCAAAGTCTACAAAAATCTTTTCTCATTGTTAAAGCCAAAAAGAGATACGACAACATAAAGATAAAGTTAGATTTGAATGTGAAGTTTAAGTTTTACGCTGCTACAACACGTCTTAAGTTATAAATTTTTAATAAAATTTACTTTTTTTCCTTAAGAATAGACACAAAGAATTGTAAGCAAAAGTTTCTTAAGACAAGGGAAGCATTAAGAAAAAGCTTTTGCTCAATTGTTATTTTAAGCCTAAACAAAGGATGGAATTAAGAAACAAAATGAAGTTGGAGTAAAGAATATGAATATAAGGTATAAGGTTTTAAAGTGGAGGAAATAAAACAGAGATTCTTAAATTGTTGTAATAATAATAGGATATAGAAGTTTTAAAATAAAATTTTATTAAATTCTTTTAGAAACCCTGACTTTTGCTTTAAAATAGATTTTTTAATTGAAAACTATGTTTAATTTTTCCTTTTAACAATAAATTTTACTTTTCCTTTATTTTATAACATTTCCTTAAACTGTAGGATTTTTCCCTCTCGAATTAGTAGCGAAATTTTTGATGACCTAAATTGAAAAGTTTTGTAGTCGTCCTTCTACTTTTATTTTATTAGATTAAAATGTATTTTTAGTTTTACATTTTTTGAAAAAAAAAAAACGATGTAACAAAACTTAACATAGAAACCTAAATTAACCATAAAAGGAAACGGAAGTCATACTTACAATGCACATAGTTAACGGTAGTTGAAAGATTGTCTACAAAAGAATGCATAATTTAACATAGATCTTGTTTGGTATAGTTGTGCATACACTCGAAGAATTTTTTTAAACAAACAATAACAAGACTTGTATTTTTAATTATGTTGTCATTTATTTTCTTTTTTAATTGCATAATTTATTCAATTATTTATAAGCAAAATGAACATAAAAATTGAAACAAAAGAAAATAATGAAAGAGCAGGATAGTGCAAATAATGATAGATAATATGTTCAGACTAATGGTCATTAACTACAAGAGTTCACAATTGATTTAAATACTACCCCACTTCTGGAGAGTGCAATTCATTAGATGTTAGTGGCTTTGGCTATATGACTAGTATAGCTCTGGCTTTCAGATTTTCATTGATATACATTAGAGAAAATAATTCCCTTTATCTGAATTATATCTTAATATTAAACATTAAATAGATATTTGAAATACTAATTATTGCAAAAATTTAAATTTCATTTACACAAGCAGCCAGAAAACGCCCTTTCCATACAAATAATTTAACATTAAAAAATGTTTAACCACAATTATACAAGGACTTTTGTCTATATGTACAAGTAGTATTTGCTTACAATAGAAAGACAACTTTGTATAAAATTTTTACTATAAATCAAATAATATTTTATTTTTTTTTCCGTTTTTTTTATTTTCACTCACACTTAAAAATGGTTGTCTTTCTCAATGCTCAACCATAAAATAAATGAATGTATTAAAGTTTGTTTTTTTGTTATTTTGTTCATTTTGTGTTTTTTTTTTCGCTTTTAGTAAATTTTCACCAAAATGCATTATTCAAAACTTTTCGCATTAAATAATCATCCATACACAGACAGAGAATTATTTCAACACACAGCCACACTTACAGTCATTTACAAAAATTCAACAGACATTTAAAGAGTTGTACATTTAAAGATTTGTCTGTGTGGGTTTGTTCTGGGGCGTCTAACTGTCTGTCGTATTGCTTGTCTAAATTTTTCTAAGAGTAATCTCTTCTTTGCCCAACAACATCATATTGGATTTATAACACGCAGAGAAAAATGGGTTTAGAACAAGGGTACAGAAAGTGATTTGCTTGCTGTCATAATTTGTATAACTGTTGCATTTGTTTGATTGCTAAAAGTACGATTACAAAGAGATCATTCTAGAAAAAATATTAAAAAAAACGGCTTTATACGATCTAATTTTTTTCGCTAAAAGTTTAATTTTTCACAAAAAAATTGAATTTTTCAACAAGAATTTGCAAAATATTAATTTTTTCCTTAAAATATAAGTTTAGTCATAAGTTAAGTTTTTCTTTTAAAAACTAATTTATCCTTAAAAATCTGATTTTTCACTTAAATTATAATTTAATTATAATATTCTTACAAAAAATTAATTTTTTGCTTAAAATTTAAATTTTCACCAAGTTGCGACAACAAAATATATGATTACAGAGAGTATTTAAATATATTGCTTCATTGTACTAGATTAAATATGAAAAAAAAAATTGGTAGACAACAACTTAATAAAATCCGAATTTTTCTCTAAGTTTAATTTTTCGTTTAAAATTTGATTTTTCATAAACATTAGATTTTTTTACTAAAAAATTAATTTTTAACAAAAATTTGATTTTTCACTTAAAATATGAATTTAGAAAAAAAAAATTGCAAAATATTGAATTTTTACTAATATTTTACTAGTTAGCTAGCCAGTTAGTTAGTTAGATAGGTAGGTAGGTAGGTAGGTAGGTAGGTAGGTAGGTAGTTAGTTAGTTAGTTAGTTAGTAGTTAGTTAGTTAGTTAGTAGTTAGTTAGTTAGTTAGTAGTTAGTTAGTTAGTTAGTTAGTTAGTTAGTTAGTTAGTTAGTTAGTTAGTTAGTTAGTAGTTAGTTAGTTAGTTAGTT